TGGCTGGGTTTTTAGAGTGCAGGTATTGAGTTATTTATCGCAGGCTTTTTGCAACCTCAGACCTTAGAGCAGCTCCATCAAAATGGTGGAAAAGTCACAATTTTTATAATAATAATAATAATTAAAATAAAGATGTCAGACGTTTTTGAAGATGGAGGAGAAAACGGGAGAAAATGAGATGGAATTTATCGGCCTTCCCTGCCTTTTTTACCCGGATTACACAGACAGATAACTTAGATGACGTTTCCAACATGATGATGACGTAATCCCTGGCGCAACGCAGACCAGCACAAGATGAAGAATTAGAGGCGTAGCAAGCTTTTGAAAAGTGTGGGGGATGGATGTGTCATTTAAATTTGGGCATGTTAAGTAGACCCCTGTCCCTCTAGGGGGGTTCGGGGGCATGCTCCCCCGCAAGAAAATTTGGTACATTTTAAGGTTAAATGCATCAATCTGGAGCACATTGAGAGCTCAAAATTAAGAGCTTCAACTGGATTCGACCCAGGCCTGTGCACGTTGAACAACGAAAAAGCATTGACTTGTTGCTTACCTAAAGAGGGCTCAAACATCTTTATAGTTATGAAATCGAGTCTGTCATTATATTCTATATTACGCTATCAAAATTACAATACTTTTGTCCTAATTTCTTCACTTGTAAGAAATAAACCCTTGAGCTTTTATTTAGGAGAAAACACAGAACACCATGCTGATCGTGTGAGCAAAGAGCGCGTTTTTTTTTTTTTTTTAAATCACGCAGCATTACAAACAGAATGCCTAACGCAAGTCTTGTACTGTTTATCCAAAAATACGAAATATAATAATGAAAACACTGGACATGTCAATAAAACATAAACATAACATCTTCCCAAACACATATCAAGCTTATTTAAAAACCTCGAAAGCATAAACACTCATTCAAAGTACCTGGAAAAGGGAGATGTAACCATAAGTTCCCGCCTCCTCAGCACGAGCTGACCGATACATCTAACACATCAAGAGAGGCGGGACTTAAGGCAGAACAGCCAATCATCAGCCGGACACACTCAAAGCCGGTGTCATGTTTGAGAGGAGACAGCCGCAGCGAGCGCGCACACACACACTGAGCGCCAGAGAAACGGAGGAGCGACTGTAGGAAGGCGTTTGTGTAAAACTGCGGAAAAACGGCAGAAAAAGTGCGGGTGTTGAACACTCTCACCGAGAAAAGTGTGGGTGTTAAAACACCCACATCCCCCACGGTTGCGACGCCCCTGTGAAGAATTATAGTTAAAAAGTATATAAATGTGTTTTGTTTTTTTTTTTTTAGAAAATGACAGATCGTTTCGCTAGATAAGACCCTATTCCTTAGCTGGGAACGTGCAGAGCCTTTTGAAGCACTTCAGAGCCCTTTGGACTTCAAAACGGTTGCAATTGAAGTCCATTGTGTGAAGCAAAATCCTGAAATGTTTTCCTCAAAAAACTTAGAAAGAAAGACTTGAACATCTGGGTGAGTAAATTTTCAGGAAATTATCATTTTGAGGTAAACTAACCCTTTAACCCAACATGTGTTCTGTCCTATATTTACCCAGCCCCTGGGTTGGAAACAACCCAAATTAGGTTGTTTTTAACCAAGAGTTTGTAGAGTGTTGATCCCGGTCAGCAGTGGTGATTTACCAACAGTGGTCTGAGGACAAACCACAAACTGGCGCCAAGTGTTGGGCGCCCAAGGCGAAGGCTAACCCTTCCAAGCCAACAGAAGGTTTACTGTGGTACAAGTCCACACAATTTTAATGATGGTTATGTGTCATGTGTCAACATCACATTCTGCTGTGTAAGGGAATGTAAGCCGCTGACCAATCAGAATGTCTAAGACAGGGATGCCCAACCTTGCTCCTGCACAGTTCATCTCCAACCCTAATCAAACATGATCTGCCTTTAATTTTCAGGTGATCCTGAAGACCTTAATTGGTTGCTTCAGGTGTGTTTTATTAGGGTTGGAGATAAACTGTGCAGGACAGTCGAGCGGCAGGAGCAGATGACCCCTGTCCACCATTGAAAACGCCTACAATGGGTATGGAAGCCTTTGGAATTAAATAATAATAATAATTCGTTACATTTATATAGCGCTTTTCTGGACACTCAAAGCGCTTCACATAGAAGGGGGGGATCTCCTCAACCACCACCAATGTGCAGCATCCACCTGAATGATGCGACGGCAGCCATATTGCGCCAGAACGCTCACCACACACCAGCTTACTGGTGGAGAGGAGACAGTGATGAAGCCAATTGGTGTATATGGGGATGATTAGGAGGCCATGATGGACAGAGGCTACTGGGATTTTTTATGACCACAGAGAGTCAGGACCTCGGTTTAACGTCTCATCCGAAGGACGGTGCTCTTTTTTAGACAGCATGGTGTCCCCATCACTTTGCTGGGGCGTTAGGACCCACACAGACCACAGGGTGAGCACCCCCTGCTGGCCTCACTAACACCTCTACCAGCAGCAACCTGGCTTTCTCAGAAGGTCTCCCATCCAGGTACTAACCAGGCTCAGCCCTGCTTAGCTTTAATGGGCAACCAGTCTTGGGCTACAGGGTGATATGGCTGCTGGCAATTGGACCTTGAAAGTGGAAGAAGGTCTGGTCTGATGAGTCCTGTTTTCATTTCCATCAGGTGGACGGCCATGTGCACCGTGATCCTGGGGAAGAGATGTTGGATGGCTGTTGGACGACGACAAGTCAGTGGAGGGAGTGTGATGCTCCGGTCAGTGCTCTGCTGGGAAACCATGGGTTTGGCCATTCATGTGGACGTAAATATGACACGTGCCACCAACCTAAACATTGTTGCAGACCAGGTACACCTCTTCATGACAATGGTGTTCCCTTTTAGGCGGATAAAGCACACTGCCACACTGCACACATTGTTCAGCAATGGTTTGAGGAACATGATGAAGAGTTCAAGGTGTTGCCCTGGCCTTCAAATTCCCCAGATCTCAGCCTGTTGGACCAACAAGTTCAATCCATGGCGGCTCCACCTCATAACCTACAGGACTTGAAGGATCTGCTGCTAATATCTTGGTGCCAGACAGACACCACAGGACACATTCGGCGCTCTTGTAGAGTCCATGCCATGTTTTGGCAGCACGTGGAGGACCAACAGCATATAGGGATGGGTGTATAAGTGGTGCTTGCCTGTGCGAAAGACGCAAGGGTGTTGTGGTTGCTGTGCCATTTCAGCCGGTTCTCATCCCAAGGCGTCATAAATTGACGCTTTTGACATTTCGTCTACATCCAACGCATATGGCACCCTTTAGCGTCAATATGAGACGTAGAAGGCGCCTCCTAGTGGTCTTACCCTAACCCAGAACTAAACCTACCAATAACCGAACGAAGCTCTAAGCGTGTTATATAGACACTAAAGGGTGCCATGTGCGTTGGATTTAGAAGAAATTTCAAAAGCGTCACTATATGATGCCCTAGGATGAGAATGTGTTGGCCATTTCTACGGTGTTCGGAGTGATTTTAACATGCTGTCATTGTACAGATAGGTGTCTAGGTGGTAATAAATTACCTTTTGGTTCCATACTCAAAAACAGTCAACACAAAAAAGATTTTACAAAATTAGAGATGTCATATTAACATGTTAAGATATTATATATGCTTTAATTGGGATTATTTTATTCTATTGAGTTTATACCAAGATTTTTTAAACCAAATCTGCATTTCATTTTTCTCCTAGTATCTCCTTTTTAGTGTGACATACTTAAGTATAATTTGCACCTGAATTTCTTTTTAGGAGTTTTAAGGTAATATTCTTTGTAAAACAGCTTTGGAGCAGTATATTTATTGAAATAGTTCAAACATTTAACGAATAGTGAGCAGAAAAAAGTTTCAAGATACAAGTGTGAGAGATGTGGGCGGGGTGCTCAAAAATTCAAGCTTGCAGATGAAAAATGAAACAAACAGATGGATGAATCATTCATAATGAGATCTAGAACATTGACAAAACAGATGCCGACTTTACTACAAGCTAAATATTTTCAAGATAATGTTTTAATAATTTCCTTTGTCTTTAGTACAATGACTATTTGCCAGTTATTTAATTTAGTCTTTATAACATCATGCTTATGCTTACTATTTCTAAAATAGTACTAAATGGAACTGCATTCATGAGAATCTATCACACTTATATTCTAGGAAGGGGGTCCCTCACAAGGAGATCACCATATTAAAAAATGTTTCATTATGGCCACCAATAAAGTTTTAGAAAGTTTCCAAACTATAGAATCCACACAATTGTATAAAGGTACAACAGAAGTACACACTTGTAACTTTCTTCATATCTTCTGGTGGAAACTTGGAACTCAGGAGGGTGCCCAGTATGAAATGAGACCTAGATGCTGTCAATACTACAGTAATGAGGGTTTGGAAGAGGCCCTATATCACTCACAGAAGCCTGTTCACGTGGACTAATGTACTGGATAGACTATGTTCCATATGTGTTCGAGGAAAAGACAGGCAGTTCTGCAAAAGCAACCACGCTCTCTCCCATTATATCCACGCTATATACTCCTCCACCTCTCCCACTCTCTCTCACCCATGGGTATCATTGTCAACTCAACACTTCCACAATTCACAACATGCCAAACTCATTTCCTAAACTTCAGAAACCCAAACTTCTAACGTTACTGTAACTTTGATGATCTACTCTTCAAAACTTGAACTTTCAAACTTCAGTCCTGCAACTTGCTGTTGAGCTACATTACACTTCTACTTTTTCCCTCACCAACTTCGCAAAAATTAACGTTGCATATTAGTGGAGTGTTTGTGTGAGATTTTAGCTTGTTGTGAAATTCACTGACACTGTAAGTTCGAACATGACATGTTGACAAAGTATTTTCTTTACATTCCTTTAAATAAATATATCTTTCGAGGAACTATTGTTGTTGCGCGGCAAGAAATATGGCATTATTGATTAAAATACCAACATAACGCTCGTGCAAGAGAAAAATTAAAGTCCAAACCTTTGAGCTTGATCTGGTCTATGAGATCATTTGCGCGTGCCAGTTGGAGATGTGAGGTCGCCAGTTTGGGATCCGAAAAAGTTACAGTTAATGGGGAAAAAAAGCGCGAAATAACTACACATCCATGGCTGAACTAGATTCTAACGTTAATGGACACCCTCGAGAATCATTCGGGCTTTGTGTGTCCTTCACATTCCAAGAGAAAGAACATAAACAGCAGTAGAAATCCCACCCTCCGTGCACGAGCATTCTCTCATTGGATGGAGACATGAAAGCAGCCCAGTGTTCGAGATCAGGAGACCAGCGAGAACAAAACACGAAACCCGTTCAACGTCCTCGCTCTGTTTCTAAGAAAGACAAGTAAAAGAAAAAAAGGCAAACAAAAATCAAATAATTAAAAAGGATGTGGAAAGAAATAAGAGCGGTAAAAGAGGTTCTAGGTCTAATTCTAGCAAATGTGAGGTAATCCAAAAACTCTTTGCAAATAATAATTTATTTAAAAATATGCTCACATTAACTCTTGTTTGTATGTCTAATATGTCAACAATGTAAAAAAGCTCTCATTCAGTAATGAGTGACATGATTTATCATTGCATTGATATTTTTAATTCAAAACGGCAAAATTACATTTAAAAAGTTGAGTAGCTAATTTGCATAACTGCATTACTGTGGGTCGTTAAATAGCCATCGTAAAACAGTCAAATATTAACGCACTTGCACTTAAAGGAGTAGTTCACTTAAAAAAAAAAAAAAAAAAACTTTTGCTGATAATTTACTCACCCCTATGTCACCCAAGCTATCAATATCTGTCTATCGTCAGTTGAAAAGAAATGAAGGTTTTTGATGAAAACATTCCAGGATTTTTCTCCATATAATGGACTTCATTGGGAACCAAACGGTTCAAAGTCCAAAAGACAGTTTCAGTGCAAACTGCAAACTGTTCAAAGGGCTTTAAACGATTCCAGACAACGAATAAGGGTCTTATCAAGCGAAACGATTGGTCATTTCAAAAATGAATAAGTTTAAGTTTTATAAGCACAAATGCTCGCCTTGCTCTGTTCTGTGATGAGTGTTTGTGACTCTCCTGTTCAAACTCATTCATCAAAATGAACAAATCTTTTTTCGAGTCATGACTCGAAGGATCCTAGGTAAGGCACTTATTCATCGTCTGGTGTCGTTTACAGCCCTTTGAACAGTTTGCACTGAAACTCTCATTTGGACCTTGAACCATTTGGTTCCCATTGAAGTCCATTATGGAGAAAAATCCTGGAATGTTTTCATCAAAAACCTTAATTTCTTTTCGACTGAAGAAAGAATGACATGGACATCTTGGATGACATGGGGGTGAGTAAATTATCAGCAAAAGTTTTTTTTAAAAGTGAACTACTCCTTTAAAAGTGTTGCGTAAATTTCGGACATGGGCTACTTCTAGTCACATACTGATTTTCGCCTATATAGCAGGGCCGTAAACAAGTTCCTCCAATAATTGGAAATGGCCATGTTGTTTGAGGCCACCATGATGGCCACAACAGCGCTTGTCAAAAAATTGAACATTGAGGATTTGAACGACACTGTTCAGTTTTCAGCTATGGTATCATTTCCCCATCCTCCATTCCGCTGGATCCCCAGGGTACATTTGGTCATTGGACCGGACTGCAAATAATTCTTCCCTATAAGTGGGTCAGAGCCCGGCCATTCTGTGACAGTGTGGCACTGGGTTTTCTTGCCAGAGAACTGGCCATAATGCCACAATGAGACCTTGGCAGAAAGCCCAGTGTGGCCATGAGACGCTGGAAATAATTGAACGGAGACCCACTTAGATACTAAAAGACAGACCCAGTAAGAAAGAGAACAAACTGGTTAGCATTTCTGCTGCTTGCAATGAATATAGAAATCCTTTTGATTTTATTGTCATAGCACCCGATTACATTTCTAAAGCATTAGATACACAAATTGTTTTTTCTATCTATAGTGGGAACTGAAAATGTATCAATAATTATTAACATTTGGTCTCAAACTATAGCTAGCCACTACTGAGTTAATTTATTTAAACTTGCAACCATATTAGAAATTCTAACCTGTTGCATTTTATTTTAATCTTTACTTAATGTTTAATGCTTGAAAATAATTCTAATAAAATAAATGCAAAACATAATTTTCATAATACACGATTCAAACGTTTGTGATCAGTAAGATAATTTATTACTTTTATTAAGTGACAATAAAGACAATTATGCAACAAAATATTTCTATTTCAAAGAAATGCTGTTCTTTTGAACTTTCGTTTTATTCAAGAATACAATTTGTTTTTCTAATTTTCAAAAAAATATCAAAATACTCTTAGCAAAATTGATAATAAAAAGGTTTCTTCAGCAGCAAATCAGAATTATTTCTGGAGTAATGATGCTGTAAATTCAGCTTTGAATCACTGGAATAAATTACATTTTACAATATATTCAACTAAAAATATGTTTTTTAAATTAACTAAATTTAAAAAAATAATTATAGATGATTTAAAATTGGACTCAAATTTACATGCATTTGAAAACCATGACAGGGACTAAACAGATAATTTTTAAATGAAATCTTTTATTGTTTAATGCACTGCCTCACACATACACTGGATTCCTTTGTGATGTGCAATATGGGACAATTACTATGAGAATGTGATGGCGAATGGCTGCGACTAGATTTGCCGAGTAGTAATCTCATGTTTAGAGTCGAGCAGAAACACTTCCACATCTGTAAGCACAGAATCAGATGTGTGTAACTCTGAGCCGTTTCTTTATGCCATGACAGAAAGAAACATCTCCACACCCGACCTCATTCCTGTGTGTTCAGCACAGCATATAAAGGCAACTATACGAATACAAAAATAAAATCAAATAAAAGCAACCATTTGCCAGACTTCCTGCTCATACACAGATAACACAATACATTAAATCACAAAGTTACACCGCAAAAAAAAAAAAAAAAAAAAAACTGGTGGGGGAAAGCCACGTTAGAAAGAACAAATCATCAAAAAGAAGTGTACACCCTATACCCTGAATCCTTCGTGACCCTAGGAACCGAGGGTAAACGCTAGACGGTGTTCACCGCTGCAGTCAAACACACACATCCACGTGGCAGTGCAACCCCATGACCGTAGCGAAAATACGGAAATAAAAAGTCATCCAAAAACATTGTTCTAAACATTTCAATTTATGGGTTTGTTTTTGACGTATATGCACATGAATGTTTGTTCTCTCTCAAAACATATACACTCGATTCATCGGCAGATATGCCTGGTTATAGCGCACCAGGGGCACTTAAACGGAGTTATTTCACCCTGTAGCTTTTAATCCTCCCGTGTCGGGGTCGAGGACGCGCCGTTTTTCGTTTAAAGCCCCTGTGCATCTGACTTCTCTTTTCTCCGAACACTTCCTGCACCCTCCCTTCCTTACAAACCTTCATCTTTTCCCCTGGAGACACAGATACAGATAAAGTTGGAGAGAGAGAGAGTGAGAGATTGAGAGAGAGGGGGAGTGAGTGTGCGATCAGCTGAACGCCGAGCCGACCCCTTGCGTCCCACGTCGTCTCTCAGCCCATCTCTTTCCACTGCCGGTAAAACTCGGTGATGTTCTTCAGCTCCATGCCTGCCGCTGCCACCGCCTGGACAGACACCTACAGCAGGACCAACAGAAAAACTGTGTAAACACCAGTACATCATACAAACGGACATTACGACCAAAACCCCAACGGGTCTTACGGAGAAACATCTGGATAATTCTACTCGGTTGGGGAGTTACTAAGTAAAAGATGTGATGCTACGAAATAGCATAGCTTTTCTAATTAAGATATTAGAAAATAGAAACATGTACGAAATAACACGTAAAATTCGAGAAAATTATTGCAGTCTAATTAAAAATATTGATTTAATTTGAATTAATAATAAAAAAAAATGGTTTAAATGAATGAGTCACTTATAAAGACTTGTTTCATTACCAGATGAATCAGCATTGTAACCTCTCAATCGGGTCATGGGGTCTATACGATCCCAATTGACTTTTACTTAATAAAAAAAAAGGTTCCCTTTATCTCAGTGGAATAAGATGTTGTGACTTTTCATACATTATCTATTTATACACACACACACACACAAAAAAAAAAAAAACTGGGCTTGATTCGGTTGTTCTGTTTACACTTCTGGTCTTCAAGGTCAATATGACCCCACATTGAAATGAATGGGAAATATGAAAAAAAAAACTAAATATATTTTTTTCATGTGTCAAAAAAAAAAAAAATCCGGCATAAATCAGAAATTTTTTACACAGAAATGAAGGCCTAGTACTAGAGTATAAATGCAATGTATCGTAAAAAATAATATTTCATATGCAAGCTAATGGTGTAGTTGAGCAATTGTGTGGTATATGGATACAAAAGTACTTTATATCTCCAAAAACACAGCATTAATGAATAGATGAGAAGTAAACAAAAAAAATTATATATTATTTGTATGATTAAAAATGTGTATTTTTTGTACAATTACTCAATCAATTGTTGGGGTCGTAAAGACCCCGAAGCCCAGAAGTGTAAACAGGAAACGAAGACCATTTGAAGGGTTAAATGGATCTCTAGAATGAATGTTTTGATGACAAATGCATTTTTAAACAGTCGCTTGTCGTCACCTACAGGTGTGACAATGTAAATGATACAATCATTTGAAGCATCAAGTTACTTTCAAAAGGTGATTTGATCATTTTTTTTACTATAAGCTTTTATCCCAGTACTTCTGTGGTTATTTGAATTACTACATCACAGAAATAATGATACTGTTTGGTTGAAAAGCTGTTCCATATGTGACCCTGGACCACAAAACCAGTCATATGGGTACATTTTGGCCGGGATACAATTTTTTGAAAATCTGTAATCTGAGGGTGCAAAAAAAAAAAATCAAAACATTTAGAAATTTGTCCATTTATGTTCGCGTTTGTGCTGCATCCACCCAAAAAAAAAAAAATGTTTTATTTATTTACAGTAGGAAATTTACTAAATATCTTCATGGAACAATCTTTACTTAATATCCTAATGATTTTCGACATAAAAGAAAAATCGATCATTTTGACCCATACAATGTATTGTTGGCTATTGCCACAAATATACCCGTGCTACTTGTGACCAGGGTCACATATAAACATGACAAGACAACTGCTCTCTCTGACTCAGTGGCAGCACCAAAGCAGATTG